GGAGACGGGGTGAGCACCCAAAAAGCCTAAAGCAGCAGCTAAGCCAAAGTCTGTAAGATGAAAACTAAAGTACCATATCCATAAACATCCTTACTGGAGAATATTCAAGGAGAATTAAACAGTGTGGAAGAAGACCAAAGCTAGGTAGAGATCATGGGAATGAGGATGGACAGAGTGGTCCTGGGCATCCCTGGACACTAGGTTTCTATTTTGCCTTTTTTGGGCCAGAAGGTACATATCTTGAGTTGTCAAAAAGGCCAGGAAGACCTTCTAGCAAAGTTGTGTTCGTCCCACTGTTTGAGGCCCGGACCTGGCAGCTGGCTTTCTCACTTTGCCTTTCTCTCTGTCTCTCTGGTCAAATAAAAAATATAATAATAATAAATAAAATTAAATATTTAAAATATTTGTTTTCATATTCAGGTGCTGATAATGCTGAACTGGAAACATCAGACTTAAGCCTGTTTTGCTAAACCTTATGTGGAAAATTAGGGTTTTAGGAGAGCCTTTGGACAAGTATTTATATTAGACCTGATCAACAGTTCCTTTCTACAGAATATCCTAGTTTACCTTGTTTGGTACCTATTACCATGTGGCTTTTTTTTTTTTTTTTTTGTTGAGTTTTTTTACAGGGCATGTGCGCTGACAGAGAGACAGAGAGAGACAGAAAGCGAGAAATCACCTCCCAGGGGGGATGATCACGCCGCAATCCCTTCTCCTCCATTTTCTTCTTGGCATCTTGGGCATGTATGCACACGCACCCAGCATAAGTTCAAGCCACTCGAACTGCAGTTGACTACATGGGAGTTCAGTGACATAGCCATTACGCTAACTGCTGGTCCCACCATGTGGCTTTTCATTTTTATGAGAACATGTGTTATGATTCTTTACCTTCATGTTAAAATAACAATTCTGATTTCCAGAGCATATAAATCTGTTACTATAGAGCGCTAGCAATCCACAGCCCTGTGAAATTAATTTTTATCCAACATCTATAAAAATCTTGGCTGGGAGAGGATGTTATTTAGGGAAGAGAGTCTACAAACATGCTATCTATTATACTAGGTATCTGAAATTCTGTCCCCAGATCAAATTAGAACACTGCACAGCTACCAGGTGCAAGTTTAAATAAATCAAGAAATGTGCAAGAACTATATGAGCAACTATTTGCTTTCTAGAAAGATGTAAAAGAAACTAGAATAACTAGAAAGACAAATTATATTCCTTAATCAGAACAATTAATGTCATTTCTCCCTAAATTAATTTATAAATTAAATGACAAAGGAAACTTAACATTAAGAAATTTGCTTGACCAGCTGAAAAGAGATATAGCTACAGTAAATTTTTTAAAAACCTATGTGCAGGGCCAGCAGGTGGCATGGTGGTTAAGGCACCTGGATTCCTATATGGCTGACTACATTCTAGTGTCAGACTTGGTAGCTTGAAAATCACGGGGGACACGTGTGCCTGAGTGCCCGAGCTCTTGAGAACAGTATGAAGGAGAAGGAGTTGAGGTGTGGCCACCCCTCTGGGTGGTAATTTCCCACTTTCCCTCTCTCTGTATCTCTCCTCTCTGGTGAGCGCACATGCCCATTGGTAAAAACCTCAAAAGAAAAAGAGGTGGGCAAATAAATCAATGGGTTAGAATAAAATGTCCAGAAATACATCTGAGAGATAGAAGGTAAATGTTTGTCTGGGTATTTAATATATAATAAAAAGGCATCATTTCATTTTGGTAAGGAAACTAAGCATTCAATAATGGTTGGGAAAAGTAACATTGGGTCTCTACCCTGCTCCACCTAAAGAAATAATTCTAAATAGGTTAATGAGCTAATTAAATGAAGAAATCCATTTCAAAAATTCCACTAAATATACTAAGCATAATACAAAACCCAGGAACTGTCAAGGAATGGAATTAACAAAAGATTGTGTAAATATTAAACTTCATGATGATGAGAACTATGAAGTTAAAACACATATAAGAGATCAGATTTAAAACATAGAGAAAAAGGGCCAATATTTTGGGACCAACAGCGTAATGGCTATGTCGCTGGACTCCCACGTAGCCGCATGGTTCCTGTCCCAGACCCCGTGGCTTAAACTCACGCCGGGTGCATGTGCGTGTGTGCCCAAGATCCCGAGAGAAGAATGGAGGAGAAGGGATTGCAGTGTGGCCATCCCCCCTGGTGGGTGATTTCTCACTTTCTGTCTCTCTGTCTCTGTCTGTCTGGTGAGCGCATGCTCCCTATAGCAAAAACCTCTCAAAAAAAAAAAAAAAAGAAAAAAGATTAGTAGGTATTTCAAATCATCGTCATGAGAACTGCAGGCTGAGATGTGGAGGCTTTGTGCTAGAAAATCACAACCCAGCACTGATCAGAGAGCCTTGCTGCCCCGGATGCAAGTGCTGGAAGCGGCAGTCTGCATCACTTCCATCACTAGCACTGGGCACTGCCACTGCCAGCTGCACTGCTTTGACCACCTGAGAAATTCAGGCTCCGGTCACTAGTGCCAGAGAAGGAATCTCACTACTCAGGTTCTCCGCATCATTAGCTTCCAGTTCAAGGTATTGAATCATACATCTGAATGGCAGAGCCTAGTCATGTGCCCACATCCTCCCTTCAAGGGAGGTCTGCAAGGAATACAGTAAAAATTTCACTTTCTACAGAGGGAAGTGGACTCTACCTCCCACCAAGTCTTACAAGGTGGAGAATTCTCCAAACATAAAAATGGACACAGATGCTTATCAGTGTAACCTGCATATGAAGTACAAAATTACCCATTTTCATAACTTATACTATTTAAATGGTGGCAACTTTCAAATCTATAAATTAAGCCAAGATTTGGAATCCTAATTCAACTTATTATTTGTCATTGTATATGGCCTCTCAGAAGCAGATAAGCATTTCAAATATTTCTGACCAAATTTTTGATATATATTTCCCCAATCACTGGGTTTACTCTTACCCATCCAGTTGCTCAAAGAAATTTAGGAATAATTTTTACTCCTTTCTTCCCCTTGTCTGGATGTGAAAACATTCAGGATGTTCTGTGGAATCTACCCGCAAAACATCTTTTATCTGTTCCAGGTGTTACTTGGTCAAATCCACTCTCTGGAACTTGAGGCCCTTCAGACTCTTCACCTGATGACTTCCTCTCTCCCGAGAAACAAACGGTATCACTGCACCAAAACACAGCATACCAGGGTTTTATCTTTCTCAGACATCACTTCCATATAACTGTAAAGCTTACAAATATGCCCAATTAGCTATCTCTTCAAAATTGTGTTTGAATTTAATACTGCTATTTATATTTAATATTGCTACTGAAGGAAAAAAGGAGCTGCCCATTATGCCTGCCTCAAATGTAGAACAGCTAAGTTGTCAATCATGTTTGTCCTAGGAACTTAAAAAGTAAAATCCCCTTCACTTACTCCACCCCAACTTTGCCATAACCAGTTATAAATAAGTAACCCCCACCCCCGCCCCGTGTCCTTAGGGTCAGCAGGTGGCGTGGTAGTTAAGGCATTGGGCTCTCACACCACCAACTGCAAGTCAAGTCCCAGACCTGGTGGCTTGCTTTCTCACTTGCCTTCTCTCTCTCTGGTCAAATTTTAAAAATGATGATGAATAAAATGAAGCAAAAATAATTATTAAAATAAAACCCTTATGTCCATTCCAGCTCCAACTCATAAATCAAAGCAAAACAAAAACAGTGGGGTCTAGATCCACTCAGATATATGAAAAGAAATGATTTTTTTATAGAATTATTTTATATAACTTTATTTAAATTTGACCAGAGAGGAATAGAAAGAGAAAGTGAGAAAGTAAGCTGCCAGGTCCGGGACTTGAACCATGGTCAGCCATGTAGGAGTCCAGCAGCCTTAACCACCATGCCACTTGCCAACCCCCAAAAAGGAAATAATTAATAAAAAGACTGAAATCAATGTGGTGATATCCAAACATTTTCTTATGTTGTTTCTGGTAAAGAAGTCTTTAGGTGCCTCAAGGTTCTAAAATTTTTGTGTTTCAACTGAACTATGTCCTCACAAAATTCCTGTGTTGTAATTTGGCTGTAATAGCATTAGTGGTGGAAGTTTTACATATATAATTATTATTATTATTGTTAGCAAGGGGGCATGTGCACTTGTCAGAGAAGGACAGAGAGTGAGCGAGAGAGAAAGCATTCCGTGATTGGCCAAGGTCATGCTGTAATACCTTCTTTCCCACTTCTCCATTCTGTTGAGATCTTGGACATGCATGCCCACACATGTGCCTGGTGTGTTTTTCAAGCTGCCACCATCAGGATTTGAACCACAAATTTAGCCATGTGTAATCAATTCCCTTAACCACTAGGCCATGGAGCCAGACCAAGGGTGAAAATTTAATGTAGTCACATAGTCATGGTGTTGAAAGGTGGGGCCTTCAGAAAAAGTTTAGGGTTAAACTCATCTGGGTGGTGCCCCATGATTGAAGCCTGGGGTTTATAAGGTGAAGGAATGGGACAGAGACACAGAGATACACAGATACACACTCTGCTACGCTCAAGCTTGTGCCTGTTGACATGAGGCCCACCACGAGGGCCTTCACCAGATGAGGCCCCCTCTAAACCATTACCTAAATAAACCTCTCTTTTGTTTTGTTTTTTTGCCACAGGGTACATGCACTCACTGGAGAGAGAGAGACAGAGAAGGGGAAAGCGAGAAATCGCCTCCCAGGGAGGATGGCCACACTGCAATCCTTCCTCCTTTATTCTCTTCTTGGGATTTTGGGCATGCATGTACCAGTGTCCAGCATGTTTTTCAAGCCACTGGGTCTAGGCTTCAAACTGTGCAGTCAGTCCTATGAGACCCAGTCACCTTAACTTCCATGCCACCTGCTGGACCCAAACCTCTATTCTTATGAAGTAACCAGATTTAGGTATTGTTATTACCAAGAGGACAGACTAGAACTCCTGCCCTGCCCTTGCCACAATTTCTGTGTTGTAGTTCTAACCTCTTGTATCTGAGACTATAACCATATTTAGAGATAAGGTCTTGAGAGAGGTAACATAAGTTAAAATGAGGTATTTAGGATGGGCCCAAATACAAGATGACTGGTATACCTTATAAGAGAAAATCTGGACATAGATATGCAATACACAGGAAAGACCACATGAGGACACAAAATGAGGTGACTCTCTACAAGACAAGGAGAGGTCTTGGATGAAACCAAATCTCTGCCATCTCATTTCAGACTTCCAGCCTCTAGAACTGTGAGAAAATAAGTTTGCATCGTGTAAGCCACACACCCAGAGAGTTTTATGGCAGTCCTAGCAAACTAATAAATACTACCTTGTTTCCTTTTTTAAAGAACCAAAACAGAGGTCATCTCTAGATTTTGGTAAGAGCCTAACTCACTGTCCACTAGTTTCCATTGCCATGCCAGCATCATCTCCTGCCTGGACTCCTACAATAGCCTTCCGACTGGCTCTCTGCTTTCTATCTTGCTTCATTCCGATAAGCCTGGCTCTTTCCTGGTTTAAGGTTTTCCTGTATGCCATTCTTTGTGACAAACTGTACTTTCCTAAAACGGCTACAGTAAAATCTCTCATTCCAGGGACCAGCAGTTTGTGTAATGGCTATGTCACTGGACTGCCATGTAGTTGACCGCAGTTTGAGTCCCGGACCCAGCGGCTTAAACTCAGGCCAGGAGCATGTGCATGCATGCCCAAGATCCCAAGAGAATGGAGGAGAAGGGCTTACGGCATGGCCATCCCCTCTGGGGGGTAATTTCTTGCTTTCTGTCTCTCTGTTTCTGTCTTTATGGCGAGCACATGCACCCTATAGCAAAAACCTTTCAAAAAAAAAAAAATCTCCCATTCCAGAAGCTTTTTTCTAATGACTCTGACGGTCCTCCCGTGGAGAAATGGGTATATATGTTCCCTCCCCTTGAGTTTAGATGTGTTTGTGCCTACTGAAATGATATTACTTCCAAGAATAAGTCATAAAAGGAAGTACAGCTTCTGTCCTGCTTTCCTGGGTCTCTTGGTCCTAGAACCCATCTACCATGCTTTGAAAGTCCAAGTAGTCCACAGGAGAAGGAACTGAATGAAGCCCTCAGCCCACAGCCCCAGTGAGGATCCCAGCCAACTGCCAGCACCAATTTGCCAGTCATGTGAGTGAGCCACCTTGGAAACGGCTATTTCTTTCTTTTTTTTTTTTTTTTGGAGAGGTTTTCACTATAGGGCGCATGCACTCGCCAGACAGAGAGACATAGAGACAGAAAGCAATAAATTAGCCCCCAGGGAGAATGGTCACGCCGCAATCCCTTCTCCTCCATTCTCCTCTTGGGATCTTGGGCCCACACGGACACACGCCCGGCGTGAGTTTTAAGCAACCGGGTCCGGGACGTGAACTGCGGTCGACTACGTGGGAGTCCAGCGGCATAGCCATTACGCTAACTGCTGGTTCCCATGGAAATAGCTATTTCTGATGCCAGGTCCTAGCTAATGCTGTTGGGTCAAAAGAACTATTCCCAGTAGAGCACCATGGAAACTGAAAATTTGTGAATGACTAATGTTTTAAGCCACTAAGTTTTGGAGTCTTTATTTTTTTAGAGAGAGAGATTTTTGCTATAGGGTGCCTGTGCTTGCTGGAAAGACAGAGACAGAAAGCAAGAAATCATCCCCTGGAGGGATGGCCATGATGCAATCCCTTCTCCTCCATTCTCCTCTCAGGATCTTGGGCATGTACACACACGTGCCCAGAGTGAGTTTTAAGCCACCAGGTCCAGGACTTGAACCAGTCAACTACATGGGAGTCCAGCGACATAACCATTATGCCACCTGCTGGTCCCTAGAGTGGTCTTATTGCAATAACCAAAATGAGGGGGATCTTCCAAAAGTGCACAGAAAATGTGTATTATGACTACCATTAGTCCCAAGCTTTCCAGTGTGTCTAGACAAAATGGCAGGCTGAGGGGCCACACAGGCACTCGCCAGAATTCACAAAGGAGATGAGCCATATTCACAGAGAAGCAGCTAGAAGACTTGTTTAGCAAGAACCCATACCCACACCTCAGCCTTCAGAAGGAAATGGCCTTAAAAATGGACTTATATCCAACAGTGCTGCAGGTTTGGTTCAAGAACCACCGAGCAAAGCTGAAGAGAGCAAGGCTGAAGCTCGCCCAGCAGCACCCTGACGTCCCATAGCACCCCGACACCCAGAAAGAGCAGCTCCTTGGAGGCAGCGTCAAAACCAGCGATTCCCAGAGGGACATGGACCCAGCATCCAGATCGCCGGACCATGCCTGCCCAGCCCCCCTGGTTTACACAGCCAGCCAGACACCCTCATTGCAGCTCAGTGTATGCCCCAATGTCAGGGTCCCCCAGACCCCCCTGCTGGCCACAAAATAGTCTACTTCGGCTGTTGCCGGGACCCGAATATACACTGTCTGTCTCCTATTCTGGAGCCCCTGGTGCGCTCCCGAAGCCTCAGTCCTCGTTCTTAGAGTCAGTTCTTCCCTGGGTTCTTCAGGTGCACCAGAGAGGTGGAAAAAAAAATTCACACTGCCACACCTCAAATGCAGGATCACCACCAGCTGTAAGGAACAATGTAGAGACACGGCAACAGGGACAGATGGCAAAAACATCACAGAGAGGGCCCAAAGTGGGCCAGGGGCTGGCACGATGATTAAGGTGCTGGACACTCCCATGTGGCTGATGACAGTTCTAGTCCCAAACCTGGTGGCTTGCTTTCTCACTTTCCCTCTCTGTGTGTCTCTGTCTGGTCAAATTAAAAAAAAAAAAAAAAAAAGGGGGAAAAAAAAAAAAAAAAAAAAAAAAGAAAATGTGTATTATGAAAAAACAGTACGTAGATTTCAATTTTTTTTAACCAAAACATTCAATTCCATTTCTCGACAAACCTTTTGAGGTCCCCTCACACTACCTAAAATACCCTCCTTTCCACCCAAGTGAACAGGATGGTTTCTTCTCATTCTTCAGATCTTAGCTAAATGTCATCTTCCTGAGAGCTCTAATAATAGTAGCCCCTATTATTGTCTATTATAGTATTCTCAGTTTTTCCTTCACAGCTTTTCTTACTTTGTAATTATTTATTGACTTAGCTATTTTTTCCTATGAGACCAGAGTTTTAAAATTCTAGTCTTGATGTGAGTCATGAGATCAGTTTTCTTTCTTTTTTTAAGAGAGGTTTTTGCTATAGGGCATGTGCACTTGCCAAAGAGAGAGAGGCAGAAAGCAAGAAATCACCCCTCTTGGGGATGGCCACATGACAGTCCTTTCTCCTCCATTCTCCTCTCAGGCTTTTGGGTATGCACATAAACGTGCCTGGTATAAGTTTTAAGTCGCCAGGTCCAGGACTTGAATAGTCAACTATGTGGGAGTCCAGTGACTTAACCATTAATGCCATTTGCTGGACCCCATGAAATGAATTTTCAAAAGATGAAAGAAAATGGAATATAAAATATCACAGAAATACACAGTAAGAGATAAGCATTGTGTTGGAACACTTGTTAGTATATGTTAAGTGTGTGTGGAGTACTTTTTAAAAGATAGTTTTACTCTAATTTTACTCTGGTTTTAAAAAGTTTGAAAGCTAGGCTAACTCTGAGGCCTGGTGGTTAAAGGAACTGAATTCCACATGGCAGACTGCAGGGTATGAATCCTAGTGGCCTAAAAAACACACTGGGTGTGTGTATATACATGCCCCAAATCTAACAGGATGGAGAAATGGTGGAGAAGGGACTGTGGTGTAACCTCACCCCATCTGGGGACGATTTCTCCCTTTCTCCGGCTGTTTCTCTTGGCAAGTGCACATGCCCTCTGACAAATTAAAAACACCAATCAAAAAAAAAAACTCTTTTGAAGGCCCCTATACAAAACTGTCAATTCCTGAGGGCAGAGAACTTATCTTTCACTTGCCATGAACATCTAACAGTCAGAGACAGAATGAATCAGATACCAACAGAAAAAAGATAAACAAATTGAAAACTGGAAATATGAAATTGGGCTAATCTCCATGATTACATTGTTTTCTAGTAGTATCTACTTTCTAAGTATCAGAGTAAAAAATTAATTGTTGAGATTTTAAAAAAATGGTTATGGGTCCCAGCTGGTGGCATGATGGTTGCAGTGTTGGACTCTCACATGGCTGACTAAAGTTTGAGTTACGGTCTTGGTGACTTGCTCTCTCACTTTCCTTCTCTTCCTGTCTCTCCCTGGTCAAGTAAAAAAATAACAGAAATAAAATTAAATAAATAATTCTTTTTAAAATGGCTGTGGCAGGTCAGGTAGAGAAGCAAATGAGAATACTGGGAAGAAAATGCGGTAGTCTAAATAATTCAGGCTCAGGTAACATGGGATATAAAACAAGGAGAGACTAAGGAAGAATTACAGGTTGAGAAAAGTGCAATGGGCTTGATTTAGTGGGAGATGATGCAAGAATTAAGAAACTGTAACTAAAAAGAATCATAGTTTTAGATGTGAGAAGTGTCAAGAAGCCTGGGTTGTATTCCTTAGAGGTAAGAAAAACAAAGAACTCTAATCCTGAGATTAGAGTGTCCAACATGGTATATGAAACAGTACAAGATGAAGAAGCCTAAATAAATGTGTGTCATGCATTACAATAAATTAATAAAGAAAACGAAGATTATATAGGTCAGGAGAAAATATGGACAGTCTCAATAGGTGATAGACTTTTTTTTTAATTTGTCACAGGGTACATGCATTTGCTAGGGAGAGAGGGAAAATGAGAGAGCACCCCCCAATGGGAAATGGGTATATTGCAATCCCTTCTCCTCTACTGCTCCCTCCTTTTGACATTCTGGGCATGCACATATATACAACTAGTGCATTTTTCAAGTCATCAGGTCCAGGATGAACAGTGCAGTTGGCCACATAGGATCCAGTCTCAACTACCACACCATAGACTCGCCCATAAACAATTTCAAATGGGGTAAATTACCAATAGACACTGGGCCATTTTTGTTCTTTTAAGAAAAATACAATATACACATATTTTTTATTTTCTCACTGAAGCTGTCAGTGTTAAGGAATTTACTTGGTATCACATTATTCCCTTCATTTTTTCACAGAGAATATTCCACTTACTGTGTAGCTCATGGTCGTCTGGACATGTTCTAAGTAATATATTTGTTAGCATAGTAGTTTCAATTGGACAAAACTTATTGCCAATAAAACTTGTATTTAGTTTGTCACATATTTCCAGTGGCAACCAATAATCAGGTGCTTCAATATTACAGGTTTCAATTCTTCCATTCTTTATGTCTATGAATACTTTAATTTCCAAATATGACTGTTTATATAACAAATTGAAGGAAGTATTTATACTAAACTTTGGAGTTTTGCCATATATCCACTCCCAAGTTTGTAGATCTTTGGCTTTGCTATTTATTCCAGGAAACATTGTCTCATTGGTTGGGTTTATTAGGTTAATATGATTATCAATTTCATGATAAGCAGCATACTCTGAAGCAATAGCATTCATTAGTACTTCACAGGTCAGAGTGGGATCTTTTTCCAAAAGATTTTTTACTAAGGAAGGTATGCTGGCAGTGGCGTTGCTCTTGATCCCTTGGTAAGGGCTCTTCAGCAAGGAAGACAAGAAAGTCCCATCAGTATTACATAATAAGGTACAATGGTGATAAGCAGTAGTCCGGCCAATCTTAGAAGCTGTTCCTGAGATTTTAAATTGTCCATCAAGTAAAAGGTCAAATCTCTTGGTAGCCTGCACATCCAGCTTGGGTTGGACAGCCTTCAGGGCTCTCACAACTAATTTCAGATTTTCCAATCTATCGTATTTGCTTTTGGTTGTAAAGAAAGTCAAGTTGATATTACCCATATCGTGGTAGACTGTTCCTCCACCACTTTTTCTCCGAGCCAGTTTTATACCTTCTTCTCTCATCAGACTCAGGTTGCATTCTTGCCAAGGATTCTGATGCCTACCAACTACAACAGAGGGAGAATTCCTCCACAGGAATAGAACTGGCTTGCCTTCTAGATTCATATGGTCATGGATCCAATCTTCTACAGCCAGATTTTGATAAACATCATTGGAAACTGACTGTAAAATAAGTCCATTCTTTACTGTGTTTTTAAAGCCAGCTGCTGGGACTTTGTGGTTACAAAGTAACTGGAAGCAATTCTTCATTGAAAATGGGATCAGCATGCTTTTAAAAATGAAAGACAAACAGATTAATTCTTTCAAAAAAGAAAATTAAATTCTGTTTTCTAGCCACGAGTTATTGGTTATTTTAGCTAAACTTATTTATTTCTCAAAGTAACAAGTCCAGTTGCTTTTCTTGCCTTTTAGCTTTATACATTAGTCTTAGCAACTCTATGACAGAGTATTCAGAGGAAATAACTGAAGACAAACTTCAAATCATTTCACTTGAAATGGAATAATGGCACAGACTTTTTTCAAATAGTAAGTGTGCTGCAAATACAATATGTACTATGTCTCAAAGCCAAACACATCCTTTTGAATTCACAAAAAGTACATGCTCATTGAGAAAAAGGAGAAACTACAGATAAACAAAAAGAATAAAACAATCCATAATCCCACCATCTAGAGATAATTACAATTAACGTTTTGGTAAATTGACATTTTATTTTTGTTCATTTATGCATATACACATCTGCAACACCCCCTCCCACAAAAGTATAACCATACTATATTTTGTTCATCATTAAGTGTATTTTTATATCTACTTAATGGCTGTATAATATTCCACTGTTAAACTACCAGTTTATTCCGTCTCTGTCTATAATTTCAGGTTATTTTATTTTTTTTAGTGTTTCTGTATCACCAGTAATATATTTATCAACATCTCTGCAGAACGCATTAATGTCTTTACAATTGTAATGTAATTTATATTTGACTCTGGGATATATGATTTACTGGCAGCCTAACTTTTATTTAGATCAGTATTAAATTAGGATGAACCTCCTGAGATCAGGAGAGGCAACTAGTGTATGCAGAATTATATGGAAAAGCTATGAATGAATTTGTTATTATTTGAACACTTTACACAATATTCGTATTGGAAGTACTAATGAAATAATAAGTGGCAAAAGGTTAAAAATACTGGCTACGAAAATAAAGTATTGTTATTATTATTCTTTGGAGAAGTTTTTGCAGTAGGATACACCTGAAAGACAGAGAGACAGAGAGACAGAAAGTGAGAAATCAGCCCCCAGGGGAACCAGCAGTTAGTGTACTGGCTATGTCGCTGGACTCCCACATAGTCAACCGTGGTTCGCATCCCGGACCCGGTGGCTTAAAACTCACTCTGGGCGCGTGTGTGTGCGTGCCCAAGATCCCGAGAGGACAATGGAGGAGAAGGGATTGCGGCATGACCATCCCCCCTGGGGGGTGATTTCTCACTTTCTGTCTCTATGTCTCTCTCTGTCTGTCTAGTGAGCGCACGCGCCCTATAGCGAAAAACTTCTCAAAAAAAAAAAAAAAGAAATCAGCCCCCAGGCCACGCCGCAATCCCTTCTCCTCCATTATCCTCTCAGAATCGTGGGAATGCATGCACAGGTACCTGGAATGAGTTTAAGCCACTGGGTCCAGGACTCAAACCGCAGTCAAATACATGGGAGTTTAGCAACATAGTCATTACGCCAACTGTTGGTCCTGTATTATTTTAACTACTTAATAGGTTTGTTTGCTTTTTAAAATTTTTTGCCAAAGGGCATGTATAATTGCTAGTGAGAAATGGGGACTGGGGGAGGGGGTATGAGAAAATGCCCACCGCATGGGACAAGATTATAATACAATCCCTTTTTCTCCATCCCTCCCTTCAAGACTTTGGGCGTGCCTGCATGAACACACCTACTGTTTCTCAAGTCACAGTGTCCAGTACTTGAACCATGTGACCGGCCCCATGGAATCCAGATCACCTAACCACCAAGACATGGGCTGGTTCTACTTACAGGTTAGGTTAGGTTAGGTTAGGTTTTATTTTATTATTTATTTATTATTTATTTATTTTGCCAAAGGGTGTGTGCACTCGCCAGAGACAGAGAAAATGAGAAATCACCATCCATGGGGCATGGCCACATGACAATCCCTTCTTCTCTATTCTCCTCTCAGGATTTTGGGCATACACACACATATGAGCCCAGAGTGTTTTTCAAGCCACAGAGTCTGGGACTCAATCCACAGAGTCAGCCATGTGGGATCCAGCACCTAAACCACCAAGTCCACCTGGTTCCACCTACCCACAGTTTTTTAAAAAATAATTATTTATTTACTTCCATTTGCTATTATTTTTTAATTTGACTAGACAAAGACAGAGAGAGAGAAAGGGAAAGCAAGAAATTAAGTCGCCAGGTCTGGGACTCAAACTGCGGTTGGCCATGTGGGAATCCAGTGCCTTTAACTACCATGCCACCTGCTGGCCCCACCCCTTTTTAAAAAATTTATTTATTATTTGTTTTTCCATGAGACAGAGAGAGAGGTTGGGAACAGGTACACCTACCAGGGTCTCCACAGTTCGATTCATGCCTCCCCACCAGCCTCAGCCAGCCTAGATCATAAGTGTGTACAGGGAATGCCTTGGGAAAAGAACCTGGAACCTTCTCATGTGGGTCCTGCATCACAGAGCATTACCACTGTGCCACCAGTGGGCCCCCTTACCTACCCACGGTTTTAAGTAAAACATTCCATTCTATTTCTTAAGGTGTTTATAATTTTCCTTTATGTTGAAGAACTGGGACTAGAATGGATTGGTAGTCCTTAATTGGGCCAAATTCTCTAGTTAAAGTTCTAGAAGTATAATTCCTTAAAGATTCCATATTTTCATTTCTATTGCTATATTTTATGAACTATGCTACAGAAAAACTGAACCAATTTACACTCCCTCTTCTAGAAAGGTTTAATGAAGTCTTCAAAAAAGTTCATGGAAAATGCATACTACGAAAAAACTAGGGATTTCAAAATTGATTTGCACCAAAATAAACTTGTACTTCCATTACATTTTACTATAAAATTTTTGAGTTCCTCTCACAGAAAAAGGGATACTTGAACTCAGTCTTGAAATGTGTTTTATTAGGTTAATGGGAGTAGCGTATTCTAGGCCTACGTAAAGGCAAAAAGTCATCTAATAGTAAGGCATAGGGGCTGCCAGGTAACATGGCCGACCCTGGTTTGAGTCCCCGACCTGCCAACTTACTTTCTCGCTTCTCCTCTGTCTCTCACTCTGTTCCTCTCTGGTCAAATTTTTAAAAATAAATAAATAAATAAATCTTAAAAAAAAAAAAAAAAGACTTAAAAAGAAAATAGTAATGCATGTTTGTGGATTCCCTCTTAACTGAGAATTGTATTTCCAGTCTTGCTGCTTCACCAAGCCTATGGTTATAACATCTGTGAAGCTTTGTACCCAGATCCCATTTCTTTGGTTAATGCTATTTTTTCTCATTCTGTTTCATTGAGTTTGATATAGTCCCACATACATTCAACAAATATTAGGTTGTTTGGAAAGTCATGATGCTCTTTTCTTTGTTTTTCTATACAAAAATGCATCATGACTTTCCCAACAACCCAATATATGTAGAGTGCCAATTAGGCACAAGCTAGTAAGGGAATGGAGAGGAGTCAAACTGAAGTAATTCTTAAACATTTGAACTTCTTCTAAAGGTATCTGGGATACATGCAGTATTTTAAGAAGGGAAGTATAAAGAGGGTCATTATACAAAACTGCTACTGCCGTGTTGAGTACAGATTAAAAAAAAAGATAGACTGGGGCAGGGAGAGCAGTTAACAGACTAAGGGTTATTCAAGCTAGAGGCAATAAGTGTAGTGGATAAAGTAGGACCAGTGGATGAATATGAGATACTAAAGAGGTGAACTGGTCTTTGCTTTTAGTATCTCCACCTTTTAGTGGGAGATTATAAAAAACTATTAGGGTAAGGGTCAGACATGTGGCCCAGTGGTCAAGCTTGGAGTCAAAGAAGAGTAACCTTTTTTTTTTAGTTGCCACAGTGCACATGTGCTCATAAAAGGGGGATGAGGAGAAAGCACACCCCCCCATGGGGTATGGTTATGCTTAATTTCTTCTCCTCCATTTCTTTGTATTGCTGGGATTTGCAACATGTGTGTGCATGTACACACATACGCACACGTGCCCAGTGTGTTTTTCAAGCTATGAGGGCCAGGATTCAAACTGAACCCTGTGACATGAGTTTCCTTAACTATTAACTCCTTAACTATTAGCTATATGGCCAGCCCCAGGATATTTTAAGGTTTAAAAACAAAACTATATTGGGACCATAATGGCTATGTCACTAGATTCTCATGTAGTTGACCGTGGTTTGAGTCCCGGACCTGGTGGCTTAAACTCATGCTGGGCGAGTGTGCGTGCGTGCCCAAGATCCTGAGAGAGGAAAATGGAGGAGAAAGGATTGCAGCATGGCCACGCCCCATCCCCCCCCCCACGGGGGGGGTGTTGATTTCTTGCTTTCTGTCTCTGTCTTTTTGGCGTGCCCTATAGCAAAAAAACTCTCAAAAAAAAACCCCTGAAAAACAAAAACAAAAACAAAAAAACCCGTAATGTGATACAGGTTGAATATCCCTAATCTGAAATGCTCCAAAATCAAAACATTTTAAGTGCCAACATGATGCCACAAGTGGAAAATTCCACACCTGATCTCATGTGACAGGTCATAGTCAAAATGCTGTAAGATGAAAATATTGTATGAAATGCCTTTGGGCTATGTACATAAGACGGATATAAGACATAAATGAATTTGTGTATAGACTTGGGTCCCCTCCCCAAAACATGTCATTATGTGTATGCAAATAGCGCCAGACTGGAAAAAAATCCAAAACCTTAATACTACTGGTGCCAAGGATTTCAGATAAGGGATTACTCAACTTGTAATTAAAATATAGTGCCCTAATTGTTGTGATAGGTGAAATTATATCTAATTGGAGGAAGTGACCCTCTATTTAGTGGAAGTGACCTTGAAGTTAGACATAAAAGGAATAAAGAAAAATATTTCACCTATGTGCAACAGTTTGATGGAAAAAGAGACAGGACTCAGGCAAAGAATTTAATTACACTGGCTGGAACTTTTGAGTACAAGAAAGGGGTGTTGTAAGAGACAAGAAGGTAGGAGAACTAGACAGCCAATTATTTTTAAGTTATTTAATTTTATTTATTATTATTTTTATTTAATTTGACCACAGAAGAGAAAGTGAGAAAGCAAGCCACCGAACCACTGTCAGCCATGTGGGAGTCTAGTGCCCTAATCACCACGTCACCTGCCAGTCCAAAGATCCAATTTTAAAGGGCCTTAAAATTCATATTAAAACCTTGAACTTTACCCTGAAGGCTACAGGAGAGCTGCTGAAGAATTTTAAGGAAGTGGAAGATCACAGGTATACTTTACAGATATTCAAGCATGGATAATCTACAATACTGTACTTGGTAAGTGGTTAAATGAGGATGAGAGAATGGGGCTGAAAAAGAATCTAAAGATTATTAGTGATCTTGGCAAGAACCAGATGCAGGAGGCTCGAAATGATGACAATCAACATATTATAATAGTAAAGTGGGAAAGCTAAAGCAGCAATCAGAAGGAATGTGGAGTTAAGAAAGAACTTAGAAGCAATATACCTGACCATGTTTAGATGCTGGTAGGAGAGTCAAGAGAGGAAGAGAAGGAAACATTAGTGAAAGAAAGGTCTCTGCACAAGTGATGGTGCTGGGATCCAGAATTCAGTTAGAGAGGCAGCCTTTGAGAGTAGAAGAAATCTTTTTCCACTGGGATTCAAGGGAGAAGCAGTAATAAATAGGTGTAGTGGAGATGCTGTTAAATTGGATAGTGTCTGAAAGTGATGATTCTCAAAGACCCTGTGACCACACTTCCCTAAAGTTAAGGCTCTCAGTGTTTTTTGCATATGTGAAGTGTGAGAGTTAGCACAGCAGTTAACTTGAATTTTAATCCTGACTCTGCCACTGGCTAATTGACAGATAGTTCGCACAAATAGTTTAACCTTTAGCTGCTTTCATAGTCTCATACCTCAGAATAGTTGATAAATGTGTTAATATGCATACAGCATCCATATCCAGCAAACGTGAAATACACTGTTAACTGTTTATTATTGAGTTCTTTCCCTCCCATTTCTATTCTTCCACTCATATTGTTCTTGTCACTTAATATGCATTCTCTTAAGTGTACAAGGATACCTAACTTATGATATCATAGTGGCATTTGATAATTTAACTACAGGCCAAGATACTGACTTTGATCAAAACGTAATCTTGTTAGGGTTCCCAAATTGCCTCAGTTTATGTAATAAACCAATTAATATATGATGAGTCATGGATCCATGTGTCATGGATCATGTACTGTTCCAGTTTAAATACTTTAATAGTGTCCAAAATATTTCTATTTATCCAGGTATTGTGTATACAGAATGAATGAAACATAACAAATGTATTAATTAAATAAATTTTGCAACAAGTATATAACAAGTATTCTTGGAATAATACAAGACACAGGAGCAAAGACTGGGAGGTTAAGATGAATACCTAATACAGGGGGAATCTTCAAAAAGCTCCCTGAGAGGGGACCAGTGAGTGGCGTGGTGGTTAAGGCACTGGACTTCCACCTGGTCAAATGGTTTGTAGTCCCAGACTCGGCAGCTTGAAACTCACACTGGGCACGTGTGCATGTGTGCCTAAAATCCTGAGAGGAGAAAGGAGAAGAGATTGCGGAGTGGCCATCCCCCCTAGGGGGTGATTTCTCACTTTCTGTCTCTCTGGTGCATGTGCCCTATAGCAAAATAATTTCTATTAAAAAAAAAAAAAAACTCACTCTAAGCGCATGCTATGAAAATACCATGCATGGATTTTAAAAATTTTTGCACCAAAATACTTTAATACCGCTTTTCCACAAACTTTTTGAAGTCTCTTTGTATGTGTCAGAAACTGTTCTATCTAGGTACCTGAGCATATACACAAACAAGCTTCAGTGACAATGCAACATTTTATCTGAGCACTGAAAAGATGAGAAAAAAGCATACAAAGAGGAAAAAGTGGAGGCAAAAGAAACGTCTAAAGAAACCTCAATGCCACCTTGCATTTTTTTTTTTGAGAGATTTTCGCTATAGGGCGCGTGCGCTCGCCAGTCAGACAGAGACATAGAGACAGAAAGTGAGAAATCACCCCCAGGGGGGATGGTCACCCCGCAATCCCTTCGCCTCCATTCTCCTCTCGGGATCTTGGGCACACACGCATACGGCGTGAGTTTTAAGCCACCAGGTCCCGGACGCGAACTGCGGTCACCTACGTGGGAGTTCAGCGACACAGCCATTACGCTAACTGCTGGTTCCCCCACCTTGCTGATTTAAAGGAGAATTATAGGTTATCGACCTGAAACTAAGATAAACTGGTTATCAAGCTTTATCATATAAAGATTACTTGAATACATTCTCAGAAAGGACAGAGTTATATTTCAGACCTGAGGGGTTGGGTCCTCAGCTCCTGGGCCCAGGAGAAGTCCTGCTCTTAAGGCAGGATACCCCCTCCCTTTTAGAGGAAGCCTGGATTCATCTCTCTTATCAGACCCTGACTGCATGACACACAGTATTTCTTTAGTTGTCAGGATATAGTCAAACAATTGAAAGCCTGGTAAAGTGTATTTCTTTAAAATCGCTTCACATAGCTCTATTCTTGGATTTTCGTTACTATAATAATTACATATTTTTCCTTGGAGAACATACTTGTTTCTATGTACTTGGGGACACTTCACTACCATTTTGCATTGACAAATATGCTTCTGGGTCACCGAACAGAAAGGAAAAAGAAACAGAAAAGGAGCGAAAGAAAGAGGCACAATCCCGTCTATCTTTCTAGGCAGGCCCAACTTCTTCACATAAAACCTAACCGAGACGCTGTCACGTGCGACCTCTCAGACACAGCACCGTCACATAACCCACCTGGAATCTCCCTACGGTCTCGGGTGTGCTCTACCTCGCCTTTTTGGCTCTGTGGGCGTGCACACAGCTGGCACCCCACACGTTTTAAGAGGTTTACCCTCCCTCCTGTGTTCAGGGTCAACCGTTCCTAACAACGACACTAACTTGTCTCAAGAGCTCAGGGTAACCCGGAGGGCCCGAGGCGGTGAACTCGCCGCACCCAGCCTGCGGCCCGAGGAATCCACCACCGCCAGCCACAGTCCGCGGAATCCCGCCTAGACCTGCTTCCGCTTTACCCACCTGCTGCTTCCGGTCCCGCCACGGCGTCCTGAGGCTGGTGTGGGAGAAGGAGGAGTACCACGAGGATCACCCACAGGCCGCGCTCACGAACCGGCCCTGCAGGCCCCACCCCGCAGGCGGAGGCAGAGGCGGGACCTCCCCGGGGCCCCGCCCCCTGAGCGCCTGCGGCCGGAAGTGCAGGCTGGAGGCGGGTCCGCGCGCGCCTTCGCGGGTGTCGGCAGGATAGAGGGACCGGGGCAGCCCGCGGCGTTGCTGACAGCCTTTGCGCCCGGCTAAGCCAACGCAAACCAGATTGGAGGCATAGAGGCGGGCCACGTTTGAATAAAAGCATCGGAAGTCAGAAAACCCCAGTTTAGATGGGAGTTCTCCGCGTGACAGCACAGATAACGGCCACTCCAGGGCAGAGGAGAGGCGGGTGTACCGAGTTGGAGAGGTGCATTTCCTGGAGCGAGCTTAGGAGGGTTCTCAGAAACCCAGAGCAGTCAGGTCACTCGCTGGGCTGGAGTATCAGCCAATAGTCCTTACAGAACAGGTAAGCATTGCGCTGAGTCATTGCACAGCTCAGTGCAAATGGCAGATGTCTCCACTTCAAAGCTGAGGAAATTTAAGTCTGTTTGGAAAGATAAATTGTCCTTAAGTAAAGATCGGTATTCACAAAACACTGTGATAAGTGGACGAAAGTGGATCAAAAAATAAACACTAAAGATAAGATTTGTGCTCCTTTCCACTTGGTGTGCGCCTCATTGCTTTTGGCAAGAAAATCCTTGCGGCTCAGCAACCAAGGTAGCAAGGTAATGTTTTCAAGTAACGATTGCTGCATTACAAACTGCCTTAGACATCAGTGACTCAGCGAATTATGATCCCTAACAGTTATGTGGGCAGTTGAGTGATCCCTCTGCCTGTCACCTGGGCTTCCTCATGTGGCTTCATTCAGCAAGGACTGGCTAGCTCCCACATGGCTGACTCTACAGTTCAAGTTCCAACCCTGTTGCTTGAAAAACACACCAGGGCTGGGAACCAACAGTTAGCATAATGGCTATGTCGCTGGACTCCCACATAGTTGACCATGGTTCATGTCCTGGACCTGGCTTAAAACTCAGGCTGGCTGCGTGTGTGTGCATGCCCAAGATCCCTGGAGGAGAAGGGATTGTGGCATGGCCATCCCTCCTGGGGGGTGATTCCTAGTTTTCTGTCTCTCTGTCTCTCTCTGATGAGCACACGTGCCCTATAGCAAAAAACCTCTCCAAAATGAATAAATAAATCCTTCTGAAGATACGCAATTTACCAATCTTTTGCAGAGTTTATCTACAGTTGTTGCAGAAACAGACTGCCAAGAAACTAAATGCTACTCAGAGAGTAGAACTCAGGTTTATTACACTGGTGGATCCAGAGGAGTTCAGACCCCAAGCTCTGGGCCCCAATTTGAGGTAGGGTAAGAGATTATATTGGTTTCTAACAGAGAAGGCCAGCATGATAAGCACATAGGCATAGGTGATGGCTGGCACAGGGGGGAAAGGCTGCAACAGTTACAGACCATAAGGAATTCAAAATTCAGCTATTTCTTTGGCCTTGAAGCATGACAACCTCCTCTCCCTAGCCAGGCTTCAGCTGCTGAGCATCCTCCCCTCATGAGTTGGCCTTTTGTTGCTGAGCTTTGTTGCTTATTTTCTGTATTGCAGGTGGCCTAGCTGGCCATTTCCTGCCTCACAGTGACCTTTCATAGAACACAAATACAAAATGTAGAGAAAGGTAAAGTACTCTAATGCAAAAATCTCAAACTGGAAATGTAACATAAGTGTGAAATGCTGGTGTCAAATTGTTTAGACACTTTTTAAAAACCACTTGTTAAAGAAATACACTATAATGAAAATGTCTTGCTGCTATTCAAATACTGTTACTAAAAAGACTGGTTTTTAACAAGGACAGAATATAACACTAGAGAAATCTGCTTTGAATTTTGGAAGGCTTTTTTTTTTTTCCCCACAGCAACTGTCTTTAGAATATGCATCATCAAAAAATGCAGTCTAAAATAAAGCAAGAGTCCTTCATTTTGTTAGGTTTCCCTAATAATGTTAAATTCTTATTTCATAGCCTCTCTCAATCAGAAGCAATTTTTGGTTTCTTTGACAATATATGCAAATTACTTCACTCCACATTTGTCATTTCTATTCTGTTGCTTTCTTTAACATGTACCACTGAACCCAAGGCTTTCTCTGAAAGAGATCCTGTGCCAGTCCCTTCAGTCTTTGAAAATGTTCTTGGTCCATGTCTTCTTACCTTGTTTTCTTGGTGTTTTGAAATGACTGAGTCACTGGTTCCAACCTGCTTTTCTCAATCCCTAGCATTAAATGGTCATCCACTTTTGAATCCACGCCTATAGCAGATACCTGAGTAGCAGATTTACTAAGTGAAAATTTCATTAGGACATGGGGTCAGAAGGTGGCGTTGGACTCCCACATGGCCAATCACAGTTCAGGTCCCGGACCTGGCAGCTTGCTTTCTCACTTCCTCTCTCCCTCTCTCTCTGTCCCTCTCTGGTCAAATAAAATAAAATAAATGAATAAATAAAGTTAAACAAAACAATTCTTTAAAAAAATAAATATACCATTAGGACAGCTGACCAAATATTAAGGCAGTTTGCAGGTAGGTACCTTTTTAAGTAGTGGAAATGTTCCTTCAAAACTTGGGTACTGAAAAACAAATACAGGTAACATGTGAATACAACAGAAATTTCAGTTAACTGAGGTAGGAGAGAGGGACCCTAAAATATAATTAGGGTATGGGCCCAAAATGGAATCACAAAATGGCTAAGCTTTGAGATGGAGACAAAGCAGCTCTATAGCTTGCTCTTTGAGAGACCTCTTGCAGCGGTGGCTCAGTGACTGACCTATACCCAAAACAAAGGCTTTTTCCAGGCCCCACAACATTCCAGGAAGAGGATAACATAATGGTTTTCATGGCTCAAAGCTTCTAGACAAACAATCTCCTGACTTTCGTACCCACTCCAAAATTAGGAGAATAACTGGACCCATCCAGCATGTGCTGTTCCCTACCAGGAGAGGAATATATGTACAAGTCCCACCTAGGACAAATCTGGAGGACAAATCTCTTCCTGACCCAAACAAAAACCCCTTGCCACAGTTCTTCCTGGACAACCCATTTTCCAGGACCCCTCTCTTCTTGGGAGCTCTGTTTTTCCTTCCCTCTCCTTTAATAAATTCCCTGCTTTGCTATACCTACTCTTCTGTGTCCATGATTCTAATTCTTCCTGAGCATGGGACGAGAACCCATGTCTCACTGCAAGTGTGGGCTGATCACCCCTGCACCCTCCGTGTTCCTGTGTCATAACTTCACAGCAATGTTTGAATGAAATGTTATGGTGATGCTAAAAATACAGAGTAAAATGCCTTCTATCCTTAATTGTTTACATTTTCTTTTGTGGAAGAGTTTGCAGGTTTTATAGATTCCTTTATAAACAAGAATTCATCTGATTTTATGTTTCATTACCATTGAGAAAATAACAGCACTTCCTGTCCTTTCTACTGTTCTCATTAGCAAAACTATTATTTATTATTATGGGTTAAAGAAATAATTACCAAAGGCCACTCTTTTAAGAGTTCTGAAAAAAATCTAATCAAGTATTTTATTAAGAATACCTGGGACCAGCATATGGCATAATGGCTATGTTGCTGGACTCCCACGTACTTGCTTGTGGTTGGAGTCCTGGACCCAGTGACTTAAAACTCATGCTGGATGTGCGTGTGTGTGCACCCAAAATACTGAGAGAAGAATGGAGAAGAAGGGATTGCAGTGTGGCTATCCAACCCCCAGGGAGGTGTGATTTGTCACTTTCTGTTTCTCTCCGTCTCTCTGGCAAGTTTAAGTGTCCTGTAGCAAAAATCTCTTTCCAAAAAAAAAGCCTAATATGGAAGCAAGTGGGTGGTGTAGTGGTCGACCACAGTTCAAGCCTCAGACCAAGTAGCTTGAAACTCACACCAGGTATGTGTGTGCACATGTATGCCCAAAATCCTGAGAGGAGAATGGAGGAGGAGGGATTGCAGCATGGCCATCCTCCCTGGAGGATGATTTCTTACTTTCTCTCTCTCTGTCTCCCACTCTGGTGAGTGCATATACCCTATGGCAAAAATCTCTCAAAAAAGGAAGGAAGGAAGGAAGGAAGGAAAGAGAAGAGAAGAGAAGAGAAGAGAAGAGAAGAGAAGAGAAGAGAAGAGAAGAGAAGAGAAGAGAAGAGAAGAGAAGAGAAGAGAAGAGAAGAGAAGAGAAGAGAAGAGAAGAGAAGAGAAGAGAAGAGAAGAGAAGAGAAGAGAAGAGAAGAGAAGAGAAGAGAAGAGAAGAGAAGAGAAGAGAAGAGAAGAGAAGAGAAGAGAAGAGAAGAGAAGAGAAGAGAAGAGAAGAGAAAAGAAAAGAAAAGAAAAGAAAAGAAAAAAGAAAAGAAAAGGAAAGGAAGGAAGGAAGGAAGGAAGATTGCTTAATACAGGCTAGTTAGTGGTGTGGTGGTTGGGGTGGCTGGATTCTGCAGTTCGAGTCCCAGACCTGGTGGCTTGAGAGGCATGCCAGGTATATGCATGTACCTAATCTCAAAAGAAGAAATGGAGGGAACCAGCAGTTAACATAATGGCTATGTGGCTAGACTCCCACATAGTCGACCGTGGTTCACGTCCCGGACCTGGTGGCTTAAAACTCACACCAGCATGCGCCCATGCCCAAGATCCCGAGAGGAGAATGGAGGAGAAGGGATTGTGGCGTGACCATCCCCCCTGGAGGGTGATTTCTCGCTTTCTGTCTCTATGTCTCTCTCTGTCTGTCTGGCGAGTGCACGCGCCCTATAGAAAATCTCCCCCCCCCCAAAAAAAAAAGAAGAAACGGAGAAGGAATTGCAGCATGACCATCCCCTATGGGGGGTAGGGAGGTGCTTTCTCACTTTCTCCATTCTCTGACTCTTTCCAGCAAGCATGTATGCCCTCTAGCAAACTAAAATAAATGATAAGGAATGCCCAATGTGTTAAGAGAAATGAGAACAGAACACAGAGGGAGACAGAACTGTGGAAAGGTTCCCAAAGGGAGTAAGACTGTCAGGGTAGAGCTTTGAAAGACAGGCAGGAGGGACCAGAAATGGCATAATGGTTATATCCCTGGACTCCCACATGGTCGACCACAGCTCAAGTCCCAGATTTGGTGGCTTTAAACTGTATGCTGAGCACATGTGCAAGCCTGCCCAAAATCCCAAGAGGAGAATGAAGTAGATGGGACTGCAGCGTGGCCACCCCACCCCCAGTGGGGGGTGATTTCTCGCTTTCTGTTGTCTCTCTGGTGAGTGCACACACCCTAAAGCAAAAATCTTTCTTAAAAAAATAAATAAAAAGAAATATGGGCAAGAATTTGCTATAGGCAGAGTTGACTAAGATGTCAGAAGAGACAGGCTTACTGGCACAATAAAGATTTGAGAAAGTTGAGTGTTTACTAGAGAACGATGATCTACTAAAATGTTCTAGTAGCAAGCAGTGATCTGGAGCAGACTCCACAGCTGTCAATGAAAGCACTAGCCCCCCCCCTTTTTTTAAATCAATGAAAGCACTAGCCCCCCCCCCCTTTTTTTAAATAATAATCATTAATTTTTTATTAAATTTCTAGTCAAACATGACAGTATATTTTTATCTTTATAAAAACTTAAATATTTACAACATAATCAGTTTGGAAAAAACAAAGAAAGGGAAAATGAAACCAAGTATTCAAAAGACAAAAGCACAGAAGAAATATAGCCTGTTAATGTGCCTGCCTGACCCTGGAGTCTGCTGCTAGAGTGCCAGGCTCTCAGCCTCATAACTAGCAGTTCAAAATCTCCTCCAGCTTTAACATGTCCAAGGCGGGGATTTTGGTGACTTTAAAGAAGACCTGATGAGAATACTTGGAACGTATAGTTTTGAGAACCTAAAGGCAGCAGGATGTTCAGCTGCCTGACCAAAGGGTGAAGCTCAGAGATCTTGTAGCCACTGTAAAACTCCCGGGTTGGAGCCCAGTGTCCAAGGTTCTTCCTGTAAAGGGCCAAGAGGAAGGAGCTCACTGCTAGCATGGAAGCCCTCTCCTGGATATAGTCATATTCCTGCAGGGTCACCTCACAGATGAAGCGAAACAAGGTTAGTGTCTTCATGCTGGCATGGACACACCTAGCGTATCTATGCAGAAAATGATAGGCGATGGGAATGTCGATGTCAAACTGGAGGGTGTGCAGGGGGCTGATTTCCATGGCAAGCATCTCATCTTGTGGATACATATCACAGATGTAGAGGAAGTCACCTATAAGGTGGACACAGGGGCTCCTCAAATTTTGCTTCAATCAGAAAGGCAGTGGAACCAAGGAGTTGTAGCTTGTCTCTCTTACATACTCTCTCCACCCGCTTTACTGCCAAGTACAGGGCTTCATGACTCATTTCAAAGGACATCTGTACCTCCACCAACCAGTCCACCAGAATGGCCCTCATGCCACTGCTAATGTCAGTTTGTCTGTTCATGTATTTTGTAAGGACAAACTTTTCTTCCCTTTGCTTCATGTAACTAAAGATATCCTTGGCATATATTGAATTGAAAAATGGATCACTGTGGTTATTATCAATATCTTCCAATGCGGTCACCCTCTTCTGTGCTCTCTTGCCCTGAGGTAAGAAAAGTTTACTTGAACCAGATTCACATATACTAAAATTGCTGGCAGTATTGGACTCGCTCACACTGGACATGGTGGCAGCAATGGACTTGCCTACCCTGGATGCAGGAGTAGTGATAGACACATGTGGGCTGGTCTTAATTGGGACTATTAAGGATGTTTTGAGAAAGCCATTTTCCTTGCAGGTAGGAGTCTCTTCCAAGGCCAAGGGTTCTCTGGAAGATGACTCCTTCTGAGTGGTGGGTTTCTTATTTGAACCTAATATCTGCTTAAAAAGAAATGTCTCATTGATGGTAGGCTTCTCCTTCAAGGCTGATGGCTCCTTGAAGAGGGCTTCCTTCTCAATGATGGGCTTCTCTTGCAAGGCCAAGTGTTCCTTCAGTGTGGCCTCCTCAACTATGGGTTTCTCTTGCAAGGTTAAGGGCTCCTTCAGGGTGGCCACATCCTCAACTGTAGACTTCTCCTGCAAGGCCAAAGCCTCACCGAACAGGGTCTCTTTCTCAATGATGGGCTTTTCCTACAAGGCCAAGCATTTCTTAAGGGTGGCCCTCTCAACTATGAGCTTCTCTTGCAAGGCTAAGGGCTTATTGAAGAGAGTTTCCTTCTCAAAGGGGGGCTTCTGTAAGGCAAAGGGGTCACTGAATAGGATCTCCTTAATGCTGGGCTTCTGTGCAAGGCCAAGTATTCCTTAAAGAAGGTCTCCTTCTCAATGTTGGGCTTTTCCTCCAAGCCCAATGGTTCCTTCAGGGTGGCTTCCGATTCCCTATCTCACCCTCTGCCATCTCCCACCCTCCTCCCACACTGTGTCTGGTATCTATTGTTGCTTTCTATGCCTCCCCCATTTTATTGTTTCACTAAATATCTTAATAAATCTAAATATTTTCAATAGCAAGCACAGCTGATATGTACATATCCGTGAACACAAGTCTGACTTTAGGCATAAACAAACCTCAGTGAATAGAATGAACATACTATAAAGTAGCACCTAACTAGGGCTATATAGCTTAACTGCAGTCATCAAATAGGTATTTCTAATGCCTTTTTTTTTCTTCTGAAATTTTTTTTTATTAATTTACATTCATTCCCTGAGCATCATCA